TGTGTCGGAACGCAGTTGAAGATGCAAAAATGTAGATTGAAATACAGAATGTGTAAAAGAACTGAGGATGTTCTTGGCATTTCCCTTTTCAAAAGATTACAGTGGGCAGCTAAGTCTTCTGAGCTGCATTCATTTGCCAAGCTCGACGTAAATGTACCGGACTGAAGAATTCAGGAAAATGGCAGCACGGGACACAGACGAGCCGACATGTGTTGATGGATCTCGGGAAGGAACTGTAAGGCAGAACTAGGTAGTTTCGCCATGCTTGTGGTCATCACCAAATGATGGCCTGTTGTCGTTTCATCATGGTCGAATCTTGCCAGAGGTTGTGATTGGATTTTGGTTGTTGTATGTAATCAGAGTTTAATCGTTCCGAAATGAAAAAGGGCAAAATAACCAGACTTTTGCTCTCCTGCTTTTGAAAATGAAAATTCCTAAAATTCCATCCCAGTCCCCAGTAAAGAAAAGAAAGATATCCAATCGAAGTCCCGTGTCTGCATTCCCAGTTAGGGCATCGACGCGATTCGAACGAGGTATGATTCTTGTTTACGCTTAATCTACAAAAAAAACTCAATTGCACTCTACAAATTATTTGAAACTCTCATGAGACGTTGAAAAGAAAAGTCGATCCAAATAATCATATATGAGCTGGAGCTACCGTTATCGTGCCTTGCAAGTTGCGCTGGCTTACCATTTAGCTTCTGTAGCATGGGAATAGCCTCCTTAAGAAATAATGGATGCTTCAATTTTCTCAGAAAAACCATTCGTTTCTGTAGCCTTTCACTTATTAGCCTCATCAGCAATGTCCATAGTCAGGAAAAATGACGAGGGACAATATAATAAACCATCTTCTTCAGAAGTAACGGTTAACATGTACGTCCAATTTATGATTGGATGGGAATAAGCTGCGCGTACGGTGTCATAATCTTGTGAAATTAAATTTAGGTCTAATCCAAATTACACGGTTATTAATCATGTCATATTATTGAAACACGAATACAAAATATTTATTAAACGGGTACCTCATATTATATAACATGACACAACACGACACTTTAAGATATAAACTCTTATATGGATATCTAAGAATTGTATTATATGTGTATTAACATACGTACACACAATCACACATGCATATCTATCTAAACATGTCAACACGCGTAACACATTAACTTATATAGTTTTATGTTTAAAGGGACCTCCTTAAATTCATCAGGAACTGTATGGTTTACAATAAAAGCGAGGAAAGGCTATTTACCATATAGCATCGATAACTGACAGTGGCGGAAGCACATGAAAACATCAGGCAAGGACCAATTCACCATCATTCACCAGCTCCTTGGGATGAATCCATGTTGTGCGGCACAGCTGAAGATGACGTTCACGATGGTTTCGCTTTTGACAGCGTACTGTATAATATCCTCCACCTCCTCATCTCTGTACCTGGGATTGATATACTTCAAGGCTTGCTTTAGCTCTTCCTTGCTGGCGGCACTTGGCTTTTGGACAACAGGCGGCGGCGGCGGCGGCAGATCTACTTTGTTGTCATCTTCAGAAGCATAGGCAAAGAAAGGGATTTTCTCTTTCTTGTAAGTTCGACAAGGACCCATCTTTGGTGTTCTGATGAGAGATTTGTGGGAAAACGGGGGATGCAGAAATTTTAAGAATGCGAGTGGGAAGTGCTACTACTTACTGCATTCTTTATCTACATACACAGCTATCAGAATTTATTCGTTTATTAGCTTAGAACGAGAAGGAAAAGAAAGGAATATGAGTTATATTTGGCTTAAAAACTAAGCTTAAAATATTATTCGAGGTTCGGCCAACGAGTCATTATGGAGGGCTTTTCGAGATGCTCCTCTGCAATTCTCGAGAAACCACAAAAGCTTGTCTGAACCTTCTGGCCTTGTGCGGGTGAGATTCTTTGCTTGGTCAAGTAAACAGGAAAGTCTCTAGCTCTTCGATAGAGGCAACATTGAACGACATCATGTGTTCGTATTGGAGATGTGATCCAGATCTGATTGAGATTTGTTATGGAATACATTGGAGATTTGGGTGGGGTTAATCTCATACATAAATTGTATTTTTTTGAGGTTCATTACGCGTGAATTCTCGTGAATGAGACATTTTACGTGTGCTTTTCACCGAGATTTCATTATCAATTTTTCACTTAGTGTTGAAGCCAGCGGTTATTGGTAAATTGTTTCTTGAATGCAAAACCGTGTATATGTGTATATATGTGCGCGCTTGCGTGCGGATGAAGGTAATATACTATTACTTTGTACTTACCGTTGAGGAAAACTCCTATTACCTTGAAGTTGACAAAACCTTTCTATGTTATTGTAAATTCGATACTTATTCTCGTATACTATGTGCGCGCTTGCGTGTGGATGAAGGTAATATACTATTACTTTGTACTTACTAGTCGGTACCCACGTTTTGTTGTGGAAAATCTACTCTTACGCAGTTTTTGACACGTAAAACAATAATAATAGTTAGCGCAAACCACGATTCAGTAATTGATTCCATTCCTCCTCATCATCATCGAGAAATTTTATGAAATCTCTCCGACTGATTCCATTCCTCCTCATCATCATCGAGAAATTTTATGAAATCTCTCCGACGTGATACTATTCGTCATAAAGTGCTTATTTTAATAGGGTATTTCGTGAAAGCCAGACAAAATGTTCTTGATGAGAACACTATTCCGTGGCCTTGTATGAATGGTGCAATGAACGTGTAGATCCATGCAAATAAAGTTGGGGGGTGTGGACCAACATCTAATGTGAGAAGTTTTGGACCCGAATTGGACTGGTTTCGGCTGCTCTTCGCGTTTCAATTGGAGGCCCGTTGGGTGGGGACGAGGAAGATCTCACCATAACGGGGATTGCGTAACTGCGAGAGTGGATTAGGACTAATCAAAATTTCACTTTGAGATGCCTGAGCAATCTTAACAATCTAATCAGTAGCATGCTTCTTTTTTCTCTCTCTCTTTTTCTTTTTTTCTGTCCTGATAAACGTAATACATTCATTTTAGGCTCCCGTAAGAGAATGGCTGAGCGAGCGTCGGGGCGTTATGAGATGGGCTTAAGCTGGCCTTAGACGGCGATATCCGCTCTCTCGAAATAGAAATATTTTGATCTCCCGCTTGTTGATGCTGTTAAGAGCAGCAATCAGGAACAAAGAAACCATTACTAAAGCCGCTTTTGATGAACATCAGAGATGGTGCTGCGTTTGGTATCTTTCAGTAAAATTTGTGGTGTTTGGTAAAAAATATTTTGGGACCACTTTGGATGAAAGCGGAGAGCCAAGGGTCGGCGTGGCTCACCGAAGGTGGCGCGAGCCTAGCCAATAGTCAGTCGAGGGTTGCTGGGGGTGGTACTATGCTTGCCGAGGCTCACCCGTCGAGGATGTTGCCGAAGATGGCGCGAGGTTCACCATCGCTTGCCTGGTCACCGATCGCTTGGTCGACACTTGCACAAGGCTCGGTGACGCTTGGCAATGCTCGCCTGGTAGCTTGGTCAACGCTCGTACGAGGTTCGCCGGCGGTCGCCTCCTTCCTGCGCGAGGCTCGCTGATCCCAGCAGCCATGTCCTCTCTTTTTCTTTTGTTTTCACTTTTAATGTTGCTTTGCAAACATACACCAAAAAGTCAGTTAATCAAACTGTATCCACTTTTAACAAGTACACGTTTTAAAAATACACGTTGAGTCAAAGATCTTTGAGGAAGTGACTTTGCACATTTCTTCAAAGCTCTCCCAAGCGCATCCGAAGGGGTCGGAGCTTTACAAAATCGGTCACTTCTTCCGTGGAGCAAACCGGCTTGCAGATCTCGACCAAAAAAAACAAAAAAACCGGGTGCGAAGAATGGAAGAAAAATTGCCCTCTGCCTTTTGTCGATGTCCCGAGTTCAATTGCGGATGTCTGTAGCTCGGATCATGAAAAGGAGGATGGGCTCTTAGGATTGCTACAAGATCTGATGTAGACCGTATTTACTATTAGCTCAACTATTCTATAGTTGTGCTCAATACGACGTTATTTCTACCCATGGGGGGCCGGTTATTTTCCACCTCTTTCGTCGCGTTATGAAATCGAAACCCACTTTTTTTCTATTTTTTGAAAGACGCATTTCCCAAAAGTAATAGCACAACGATCCTATCTTTTCTTTCCTACGGATTTGGGACTCAACTTAATGATCCTTCAAGCCGAACCATAGCATTGAGGAAGTGAGGGCGTGACGGAGAATTTGATGAGCAATGAATGTTTCCCTCATAACGACCATGAGGACCGATTAAGGTTTGAGATCGTTGTCCTGAGTTCTGACCAAAGAAAGGAGGTTTACCAAATCTTTACTTAACCAAATTCGAATCTCCTGAATTAAGACTGAAGAACCCCAATAAATATTGGTAATTATTGGGTGATTAAAGCACGTTAATTGCAGTTTTAATGCCTCCGTTGTGGGTCAGTTCCATAAGCCGCACATGCGATTCGAAACATTTACTCAGAGCAGAACATAGTTGTACAATTAGATCGCGTCAAGCTCCACGGCAGAAAACCCGAAATAAAACCGGACGGCGACCCGACCCGCATCTAAAACAACTTCCACTGTTTCTGGGTAAATTCACATCGCAATCCAGTCGTCCCCTCTTCGGCCGACGCAATTCAGGCGCTTGAAAGATCCGTCTCCTCCTCCCATCATTGTTCCACCATAAAGAATGTCAAATTCAACCATATGGAAGGCGTCACCGATCACTGGGGGAGTAGTCAACCGTCCCCATTGCCCACAGAGTCGTCCTCGGAAATTCAATAAACAAAGAGAGAGTCCCCGACTCATTCATTGACTCTCTCTCTCTCCCCCAAACCAAAATGCTTTCCCACCTTAAAAATCACAAATATACAATTCGATCGAACCAACTTATTAGTGGGCATCCCTGGCGAGATCCACCACCACGGCACGACTTTTCCCCCCTTCTAAAATAATCGCATCTCGCATCGAAGAGATAGCAGCAAAACTCCATTCGATTAATATAATCTAAGATTTGCTAAAAAAAAATAATACTTTGAAACATTAAATGAAAATCCCTTGCACTAGTCGGATGACTCACTCCCCACCAAATCTACAGTCCCCATATTCTCTCTCTCCTTCTCCTTTTTCATTCCCTTTCTTTTGCCCCTTCCTTAATCACTTAAGGTCTTTCTTTAGTACCAGAAGTCACGAGAAATAAATTTAAAAAAGAGGGGGTGGCCAGGGGCCAAAGCAGTAGTAAACAAAAGGACCCGAAGACAAAGGAATCCAATTTCCTCCTCCCCCGCAGACCCCTTCCTCGAGAACAGAGCCAAGGCATCTTCGCGTTGACAATTTGAGCCCCCCCCCCCCCCACCCTTCGCTCTAAAGCAAGTATTTTCCTTGGTGGTGTCGCTTCCTTCACGTCCAATCAATCGCCGTGGACCCCCCCGGGTCGGGTTTGGATCGGAGAGGAGGGGAGAGAGGAGGGGGGTGCGGGGCTTTAGGAAGATTCGAGGACCAAGGGCGCCTTCACGTCGGCGGCGACGGGCTGGGAGTGGTTGTGCTCGCCCTCGTAGGTCACGACGAGCATGCCCGGGTCGTCCAGGGCTCGCTCCACGTGCTTCCTCGCCGGGCATCCCCTCACGCTGCTGCACTTGTAATAGCCCCTGCAAAGAGAACGACGGCATCGTCAGTTGATTTGACGAGGCTGGACCGGTTCATGCACGGGTTGACTCGGAAGTCAAGCTCGCGACTCGGGTTCTTTTTTATAAAAAAAAAAACCCATTTTCGAGATTTGATAAATGGGTCCAAGGAGATAACCATGGATGCGTCGCTCCGAAGCGAAAAGAGACAGGTGTATCAGGGAATGGAGCAACGTGGGCTGCTTTTCTCGGGGAACGTGGATGGGTAACGTGTGTGTGGGAGAGAACAGTGGTCAACGGGGTCAAATTGAGTCGGACTGAGTGAAAACCCCGGGTCGTGGTGCCCGAGTTGAGCGGTCCCCAAATCAACGAGGACATAGGAGAACAGGACTGGTGTATCGAACGACCATCGGGATGGTGGTCGAAGAGGGCGCACAGCACAGCTAAATAACAAATATGATATAAACCAACGCGAACGAAAACAAGTAGACGAACACGAACACCGACCTCGGGTGAGGAGAGCCTTTGATGGGCTTCTGCCCGTACTTCCTCCACGAGAAATCATCTGGTGGGATGTCCGCCATTTTCGAACTGATCGCGGCGACTCTAACCACTCTCTTCAACCTCGATTTCCTGCAAAATCGATCCGAATCTCGTCAGTTTGACGCGAGCCCATTTCGAAATCGTCGAACTGTCGGAGCAGAGAGACCGAAAAACTTCGACGTACCTCTTCTTCGAGCAATGGCACTTGCCGGAGGACGACGCGCACTTCAGGGCAGCGTCGTCCATGGAACTGCACTTCCTCTTCAGTGAGTACGACAGGGGAGGCTTGTCCGCCGACGAAACCTGCGAGAGATGGTGCGTCATCTGGAACCCCGCGGAAGAGAAGGATCTCTGCACACTGTCCGTCTCCCCAGTCAGCGACGACAGGAACGAGTTCGCAGCCGAGATCGGCGGCGAGGCCGAGAAATTTATAGTCGTCGGCATCGCGGACTCCTTTCGCTCCACCTTCGGAGCCGCCAGAATCGGGTTCTGTTGGACCTGGTGGTGGTGGTGGTGGTGGTTGTGAGGCAGGGGAGGCAGCCGCTGGATCGGCGTCGGGCAGTAGACCTTGAAAGCCGACCCCGGTTCGGCGCCCTGCAACCGGGCGCTCCCGACCGGGTTCTCCGCCGGCCGGACCGGATTCAGCGCTTCCCGGTTCTCGGGGAGCGGAGCGACGGGAGCCCTCCGGAAGCGGGCGTGGCCGGTCCTCGCCCTGTCGAGCAGCGAGATGACCTTCCTGAACTTGTTGACGGCGGCGTCCGTGGCGGCCTCGATGTCCACGGCGGGGCTCGGGCCCGGGCCCGGGCCCCCGGAGGAGGACGGCGACGGCGACGACGAGCCCTGCCCGGCCTCCCGACGGCCGCCGCCGCCGCCGGAGGGGGAGGGGGAGGACGACGACGACGAAGACAGCATCTTTATGAGGTTCTCGACGCTCTGTATGCCGGCGGAGGCGGCCTCGCGCAGGGCGGTCTCCTCCTTCTTGACCGCGAAGCCGCCGCCGCCGTCGCCGCCGTAGCCCATCATCAGCTCCACCGCCATATCTCTCGAACGGTTAGAGAAAGCACACATGAAGGCAGGCGAGTGCCAAAGCCAAAGGGGGGGTTGGTCTATAAGAAGAGGAGGAGGAGAGGAAGAGGGAGGAGGAAGGGGTCGCAGGACATGGATGGAAAAAAGCAGAGCAACAGAGGAGAGAGAAATTGACACAAGAGAAAAGAAAACAGAGGAGAGAGAAAGGAAGGGAAGAAAAGCAGAGGATTCGAGTCAAACTGACGCCCCCTTCGCCTTTCCTTTCCTCTTTGGCATTACAAGGCATCTCCCCCCTCTCTCATCTGATCTGGTCACTCGGCCTGTCGCTTCTACGTTAACCTTGCGGTCAAACGGTCGGGCCTGTAGGAGCGCTCCACGTGGCGGAGCCATGCGCCCGGGGGGGGGGCCCGATTGACCGCGGCTTTTCAATGCCGGGGTGTGGGTTGTGTGGGGGTGTGGGGGTTGGTGGTGGGCCCCCGCGCGGGAGCGATGGATGGATAGATATGAGCGACCCTCAAGCCTCCTCCTGTTGGAGACCGTGTAAGATTTTGAAAACGATGAGAGGGAGAGGGGTAGAGAGAGAAAGAGGACGATAAGGTCAAAAGCAGAGCGAGAGAGAGATGATGATGATGATGATGATGATGAGGATGGAAGGAGAGCCGTTGGATCGGGGGCGGGGGGGGGGGGGGTCGGGTTGGTGCCAGTGAGGAAGGGTTGACCTTTACCCGCTTTTAATGCAAAAGCGGGGAGGGGGGGTCTCCTCCCGAGTCCCCCAAGCGCCCTCCCCCCTCCCTCTTTTACCGGGAACCGGAAGCGCCGCGTCAAAGCCCCGTCCCCCGCGAGGCCGCATGGGATTCTCTCTCTCTCTCCCCCTTCGCTCTCCCGGTCAATTCGCTGGGCCCCCACCGGCAGGAGATGCGTTTCGAGCCGTTTATATCTCCCTCACGCCTAACATCGTCGTAAACAAAAAAACAAAAAAACAAAAAAAACCTCTTTTTTTTTTCTCTTTTTCCCTCTTTTTTTTTCTCCCTTTTTCCATCCCTTTAAAATTCAAACTTCATGGTTTGCTCCACCGGGCCAAATGGACTTATTAAAAAAAATAAAAAATTTTGGTTATGGGGGGCGAGATTGCGAATCGAAATCGAGTGCAATTTGGACTTTTTCTTTTATATGCCCTCAGCGTTGACGTTGTTGCATTTATGCTTTTTTATCAAAAGATATTTATGCACACACCCAATGCTAGAATAAACCCCCCCCCCCCCCCCTCAAAAAAAGAAATTGGGCGAATCCTTGGGTTGATTCTGCCACAAGACACTAAACTGACGGGCTATTGGTGTTAATTGTCACATCAGCTAAGATAATGGGATGGATAATCATATCAAATATTCCTTCAATTCGCGGCGCACCTTCCCCACGGATACTATTAATAAACAAAATATTAATATCACAAAAAAAATCTCAAATTAATATATCATAAATTTATTCCAAACTAAAATCCCAAACCGGCATCCCGCGATAAAATTTATCCTCCGCTAGTTTCCGTTAAATTTTACAATCAAATTGCTGAGTTTGATGATACGTGGCAATTGACGGGTGTACCAGTTTGGAGTTTTACCTCCGTTTGTCGCGAGTGTACTAGTTTGTGATTTTTCGTGATATTAATACAATTCAACGGAAACTAGCGTAGAGTAAATTTATCACAAAATGTACTGGTTTTGGGTTTTTGGTGGTCAAAAAATTAGTTTTGAGTAAATTTGTCGTGATTGTTCCAATTTGACATTTTCCGTGATCAAAAAAATTAATTTTTTGATAAATTTATCACGAGTATATCGATTTGGAATTTTTCATGATATTAATCCGAAGACAATGGAAAAAGGGCTTGGGCCTATGCAATTTGCTTCGCTGATATAAAAAGAGTCGTTTAGGGGCATCATTGGATCGCACAGTGAATCGACGGCCAGGGGACAAACGAGGAAGGAGGCACGAAGATTGCATGCATGTTTGACATGCGTTTTCGTTGCTTCCGGTCAAAACTTGTCCCTCAAATCGCTTTGAAAATTTTGGTCCCCAAGCGTTTCGTGCCTTCACGCAATCGGGTCTTGGCTGGGGCCTAACTTACATGACAGGGGCCGGAGTCAAATCCAAGAAAGCTACCGCCTTTTGACTTAAACTTCGTTAAAGGGAAACTTGCGTGCGCACCTTTGGCTTTGTCGTTGCATCGAGTTTCGCGAATGAGGATGCGGGCATGGACCGATACGCCTTGGACAATACGGTTTCATACTTAATATGGAAGCAAAACAAGCCGAAATAGAGACACTCCCCCCCCTCCCGTTCGGCGTGAGACGGGGGGTGTAGAATTATCCGAGCGATCGGTGAAACGTAGCATTTCAAAATCACGCCAGGTAAATGAGGACCCGTAATATTATCCAATAAGTAAGATCCATTTCCAAATGGTCATCGCTTTGTGATTACTCGCACTGCTCTTCCGAGAGCCGTGAAAAACAAGCCGAACCGTGACATAAATCCCCGGATTAGATGTCCGATATCTAGAAGTCCATCGACAAATCTTTTTCTTTTCTCATTTTCCTTATTTTTTTTTTTCTGATAAAAAAGGACAGGCCGTCTCCTTAAGTCAAGTATTGTTTCACATTCTTCCTTGCGCAAGCAAAAAAAACAAAGGACGCAAAAGCATCAGAACCAACAAAAAGGGGACAACCAATACAACAAGTCTTCCCCCCCATCTTCGCCTCGCTTTCATTCCTTGCGCTGTAAACAAATGTCTGTTGACCCACGCCCCTCTTGTTTCTATACGCTGCCGTGTGTGAATCTGGACTCGTGAGGGATTTGACGGTATCGCATGAGATCGACGTGCATGTGAGCCGATCAGCAAGCAGCCCCTCCCACGATGTGGAGGGAATATAAGAATATATGGAGGGGGAAAATGCGAAACCCACCAGGAAACAACAAAGTGACGTGTGACCTCAGGACATCTCCGCGGCAGCTCCTCTCCAACATATAGAATAATCCGACGGAAAGCATGAGCATGAGAAAGTTGACGAAATGATGAGGGGGCCAGCAGCAGCAGCAGCGCTGAGTCATTTGATGTAACGATAGATTTCGAGATCCATCGGGCGAATGGGAACGCAGCGACCCTCGATCGCCAAAAGTCTTCCCCGCTGTACACTCTGGTCGTGGGACTCATTTTGGTCACGGGCCTGTCAGAGCTCGAGCGAACCGGTGTTGGTTTTACTTGCAGTCCCCGCCCCAGTTATCGACAGGAATCACCCCCCACATTTCTGTTTTGTTTATTAGGAGTTGCGACGACCGATCGAGCTGCTTCTCGATTTTCTTTTGAGGAAATTATCAGAAGGGGTCCTTGTATTATTGTTCGATTTCTTACGATCTGATCCGTATTTTATTGTTTTTTTTTCTTTTTCGATTTCGCCATTGTAGTTTTTCATGTGAGCCCATTTTTGGTACTTCCGTCGAATTGATTTCTTCACCGCATCAATAGATGTGCCTGGCATAACGCCATAAGTTTGTTATAAGCCTGCCATAGCTCTTTCATTTGTCTTTTTTACCCACGGGCTATAAACGTGAACATTTTCCACAATCGTACACGTGATTTAGCGACACCGAAAAAATCCACTTTTGTCGTGCGCCGAGGCTTTGGGAAAAATTGTTCGAAAAGACATAGACCTTGCCCTCGCCTGGCCGGGCCTCGCTTGTGGAAGGTGACGGCGACCCCTGCCCAAGCGAGGCCATCCCGCCCGGCCATGGCTGGTGGCCGGTCACTGGCAAAAGAAAGAAAAAAGGGAAAAAAATAATAATTATTAAAATATTATTAAAAATAGTCAACGTCGGTGCTGCATGTACCATGTAGGATTCACCGACGTCCACGTCAGTGAATTCTGGCCAAATTTGGCTGGATAAACTTAATTGGTAAATTAACAAAATGTTTATAATTCGATTGACAAAAATTGAAAGGTTTATGACTAAATTAGCAAAAGCGCAATAAATTTATGACTTTTTGGATAATTTTCCCTAGGGCTTTGTGACGAGAGAGATGAGAGGAGCTCTACTCGGAAAATAAAAGTATGTGGAACATTCGCAATTTTGCAACAAGACATGAACTTATCAAATCTTGCTGCAATGTTTTTGAATCTTCCAAACTCTTTCATTGCCCAAGTAGAGGTCCCCCCCTCTCCCTAACACGCTTTGATCTCTCTTTTCTTTTAAAGGCCTGTGGACAAGCTGACTCGTGAGATGTGAATTGCGGGTTGACCCTTAGTCAACTTGCAAGAACATCCGAAAGAGAAAGGAAAACAAGCATGTATGAACGTGATTATAATAATATGCACCGAAGTTTCGTCTCTTTGTGCTTCTTGTGCATGTCTCCAACTTCTACTCGTGTTACGGATTTACCATAATATGAATTCGTATATAATGCTCATTCCATTGCTGTCACCATTAAATCACGAAACGGGACAGTGGTATAACTAAGTCGAGTCGAGTCGAAATGATATGATACTCGAACTTGACTCGGCCATGTATGGCTCGATACTTGACACCAATTGCTCGAGCGATAGCGCAGTTTCAATCGTTCGAGTTCAACTCGGTCTCCATTTGAGAATAGATTTTAGTGTAAAACTTAATTCACACTCGAATTCAAATGGTAAAAACACAACCAATAAAAGAAACGGTAGTTTAAAATAATTCAAATTTGATCAAACCCATAAGTTTCTTGAGTCGAGTATTTTCAAGCTTGAGCTCCACTACATCTAAGTATTCAAGCTATTCAAGCTATTCAAACTCAATAAGGGTGAGCATGGTTTCAAGGTATTACCGGGAATCGGAGAATTGAACCGGTGGAAACCGGTTTTGTTCTGGTTTCAAGGTATGCAAGGCAAGTTTTAAGTTCTAAAAATTGAGAAATCAATTATTACGGGTAGGTTCCAACATGGAACAAATCTTTGTGTTTGTCTTGTTCTATGTTTTCACGTAATCTTACGGTGTTCTCTGGCTCCGATGATAAGTGTGTAATCTGAAACTACTAGTTTGAGCTTCCATTTTCGGTAATATCCATGATTGAGACTTTCACTTTGTTAATATTTCATATTCTCCATGTGTCTAAA